TAGTTTTTGTAGCTTGAACCCGCCACCCGTGGTATATGGGGCTGGCGCCCTACTCTTTTGAGCCACAGGCGTTGCCCTATCGCCCTCATTCTTGAAAGATAACACAGGAATATGTAGAATTCTTGGCTGGTAGTTTTATTTCCCCTCCTCAGAGTTTTGAGGATACTTCTTTCCTTTTTCCAAACGTGTTTTGTTGCTGATGGTAAATCTGTTATCAGTTCTAACTATTGTTTCTTTTCTTTTCTTTTTTTTTTTTTTGAGACAGAGTCTCAGTTTGTTGCCCTTGGTAGAGAGCCGTGGTGTCACAGCTCACAGCAATCTCAAATTCCTGGGCGTAAGCGATTCTCTTGCCTCAGCCTCCCATGTAGCAGGGACTACAGGTGTCCGCCACAATACCCACTATTTTTAGAGTCGAGGTCTCACTCTGGCTCAGGTAGGTCTCTAACCCATGAGCTCAGGAAATCCATTGGCCTCAGCCTCCCAAGTGCTGGGATTGTGGTCATGAGCCACTGCGCTGCCAGGCCTCTAACTGTAGTTTCTTTACAAATGATCTGCCTCTCTTCTCTGGTTGCTTTGAAGGTTTCTCTTGAATTTCAAATTTCTGAAGCTTCACCATAATGTGCCAAGTTTTGAATTTATTTTCATTTACTATGCTTGATATTTTCTTTCTGCTTTTTTTTTTTTTTCCGGAGTCTTGGTTTGTTGCCCTCAATAGAGTGCCTGGAGTCATAGCTCACAGCAACCTCAAACTCTTGAACCCTGGTCTCAAGCAATCCTCTTGCCTTAGCCTCCCAAGTAGCTGGAACTACAGGTGCCTGCTATAATGCCTGGCTAGTTTTTCTATTTTGGATAGATGGGGTCTCGCTCTTGCTCAGGCTGGTCTCAAACCAGTAAGCTCAGGTAATATACCCGCCTCGGCCTCCCAGAGTACTAGGATTACAGGCATAAGCCATCCTGCCTGGCCCTTTTTTTTTTTTTTTTGACAGATTCTTACTCTGTTGCCCTGGGTAGAGTGCCATGGCGTCAAGGCTCATAGCAACCTCAAACTCTTAGGCTCAAGTGATCCTATTGCCTCAGCCCCTCAGTAGCTGGGACAAACGGGCACTTGCCACAATGCCTGGCTAGTTTTCTATTTTGGATAGAGATGGGGTCTCACTCTTGCTCAGGCTGGTCTCAAACCAGTAAGCTCAGGCAATATACCCACCTCAGCCTCCCAGAGTACTAGGATTACAGACATGAGCCACCCTGCCTGGCTCTTCTTTTTTTAATTTTTTTTTTTTTAATTTTTGAGACAAATTCTCACTCTGTTGCCCTGGGTAGAGTGCCGTGGCGTCAAGGCTCATAGCAACCTCAAACTCTTAGGCTCAAGTGATCCTCTTGCCTCAGCCCCTCAGTAACTAGGACTACAGGCACTTGCCACCACACCTGGCTAGTTTTTCTTTTCTTTTTTTTTTTCTTAGTAGAGATGGGTCTCACTCTTGCTCAGGCTGGTCTCACATTCCTGAGCTCAGGTGATCCATGGGCCTTAGTCTCCCAGAGTGCTAGGATTACAGGTGTGAGCCATTGCGTCCACTATGCTCGCTATTCTCAACCTGAGGACTCAAGTTTACCATATTGTGAAATATATTACTTGGTCTTCATCCCATTTCCTGGCACTCAGTTGCCAAAGTCCTTGGAATCTCCAGAGTGATTTTTGTATGCTAATGTTGACTGATAGTTTCCTGGTTGGGCTGGTCACTGGAAAGCTTAGAGGACTGGGGATTGGGACTTTTAACTTCTCCCCAAGCTCCAGGAAGGGAAGAGGGGCTGAAAGACAAGTTGATCACCAGAGGCCAATGGTTTAATCATTCACGCCTACGTAACGAAACCTAAGGGGACCAGGTTCAGAGAGCTTCCAGATAATAGAACGCATGGAGCTTCTTAGAGGGTGGTGTGCCCAGGTGGGGCATGGAAATTGCACCCCTTTCCCCAAACCTCACCCTATGAATCTCTTCATCCAGATGCTTTGTAATATCCTTTACAATAAGCCAGTAAACGTAAGTAAGTGTTTCCCTGAATGCTGTGAGCCACTCTGGAAAAGTAGTAAAATCCAAAAGGGGGGGCGGGTCATGGGAGCCCCAATTTGAAAGAGGTTGGTTGGAAGTTGGAAGTTTCGGAGGCCTGGACTTTTGACTGGTGTCTGGCAGTTTGGAGAATTAAGCCCCTATAACCTTTGGTGTCTGATACCATCTCCAGGTGAAGAGTGTAGGAACTGAATCGGAACGACACCCCCCCACCCCTCCCACCGCTGCTGATTGTTCAGTTGGTGAAAAGCAGAATCCCCACCCCCATTTGGGCACGGAAGTCTTCTGTGTTGATGACCACACCAAAATGTTGTTTTGGTGTGAGAGCAAAGGAAAAACATGGTTTGGGCTTTCCAAACAATGTTTCATTCTGGAAAATTCTCAGCTATGATCCTCTGTAATACTGCTTTTCTAAACCTTCTGTTTTCTGCCTTTGGAACTCTGCGTTGAACGGTGTTGGAGCCTCTCATTCCACACGGAGCAGGTGTTTTTTTTTCTCTCTCCCTCTCAGGCAGTTTGCTGAGTGCCTTCTGGCGCCCACCTCCCCAGGCCAGACGGCATCTGGCCTGGTGGTTATATAGGGGATGTGACAGACCCAGGCCTGGAGTCAGTAGGCAGTATGACTCTGGGCCTGGGTGAGGGGTCTGCCCCTTCTGCTACCCTAGGAAGACAGATTTTACACAAGTCCTGGGTGGTGGCCAGAGCTTTGGCTTCCTGTGAAGGCTGCTGAAGTCTTTTCCAGTTCCTTGCTTTGAGCAGTGATGGTGGCCAGGGTCCCCTGCAGGTGATCCAGGTGGCTCTGCAGGTTTCCAGGTCTATCTCATTGCAGCTATGGCTGTCTGTCTCTGCCATGCATATGTTTATCTGATAGTTGAGTGTGGCTCCTTACAATTTAAAAAAAGAAACTGTATCTGTCACTGCTACACACAGGGGAGTGGTATGTGCAGATTTGAAGTGTGGACTCATATTCTTTCTTGACCGGAAGCCCAATTATTTTCTAACAGTCAAATCTAATCAGGACAGTCCTCTGCTTAAATTTTCAAGAAGGTGGCTCCTCTTGGTCATAAAGGGTCAGATTCAGACCTTCTCACACAGCCTATGGACCTAGCCTCCTTGTGGCTGCTGTTTCTTTCCTTCTAGAAGCTGACCCAAGGCTCCCTGCTCCTGCTGGACCCAGTCCTCTGCTCCCACCCCCCAGGTGTTCCCTCTTCATGTTCCATTTATGTGTCCGAGGGCCGCAGTGGGTGTCATTTTTCTCTGAAGGCCTGGCTTTATGTATATATGTATGTATGTATCTATTTTTGAGACTGAGTTTCACTTTGTTGCTCTTAGTAGAATGCTGTGGCATCATAGCTCACAGCAACCTCAAACTTTTGGGCTCAAGTGATCCTCTTGCTTCACCCTTCCAAAGTTCAGACTACAGGTGCCCACCACAACACCTGCCTATTTGTAGAGACAGGGGTCTCACTGTTGCTCAGGCTGATCTTGAACTCCTGAGCTCAGGGCAATCAACCTGTCTCAGCCTTCCAGAATGTGAGAATTTCAGGTATAAGCCACCGTGCCCGACCTTGAAGCCGTGGTTTTAGCACAGCACTTGGCACTGGCTGGATGTGTGAGGAGTGAACTGATTGGGGATTCTGTGTACATCTGGGCCTGGGCCCATCTGTCAAAAAGTTGCCCCAAGAGCCTGGACAACAGGTGTTCATACAAAACTCATATTGATATATTCACAGCAGTTCTAGTCACAATAGCCAAAAGTTAAAAACAACTCAACTACCCATCACCAGTGAATGGATACATAAAATGGAATATTTATTTATTTATTTATTGAGACAGAATCTCACTCTGTTGCCCAGGCTAGAGTGCCAGAGCTCACAGCAACCTCAAACTCCCAGGTTTAGGCAGTCCTCCTGTGTCATCTGCCAAGCAGCTAGGACTACAGGTGCCCACCACATTGTCCGACTCAGTTTTTATTTTTAGTAGAAACGAGGTAGAAGGGATCTCGCTCTTGCTCGGGCTGGTCTCAAACTCCCGAGCTCAAGGGATCCTCCACCTCGGCCTCCCAGAGTGCTAGGATTACAAGTGTGAGCCACCTTACCTGGCCAATAAAATGGAATATCATTCAGCCATAAAAAGGAGTAAAGTACTCATATAAGCTACAGTATGGATGAACTTGGAAAAAACTATGTTAAGTGAAAAAAGCCAGACACAAAAGCTCATGTAATATACAAATAGGCAAATCCAGAGGGGCAGAAAGGGGTAGTGGGTAGCAGAGGCTGGGGCAGGCAGGACTGCATAATGGTAGGGAGTTTCTGTGTGAGGTGATGATAAAGTTCTGGGCTAGACAGTAACAGTGGCTGCAAGACATTGTAGGAATACTTATTGTCACTCAATTAGACATCTTAAAATTGTTTGTGGTGAATTTTATGTTAAAGTGTATTCCCCCCCCACCCCGACACCCCAGTTAACACAATGGCTCTAGACCAACGGTTCTCACCCTGTGGGTTGTGACCGCTTTGGACTGTATTAAAGGGTTATAGCATTAGGAAGCAGAAAACCACTGCTCTAGACCATTTGGGAGATCTGATGGAAATTGGCTTGAATTATCTAGATATGTTATAGTCCCCAAAGTGCATCTGAAAGGATCCCTAGAGCCTGGTCAAATTATCTGAGAGATGCCAAAATAGCTTTCTTATTTAGTTATGGTACCCTTTGTCTCAAAAACCGAATATGCCTGAGCCATGTGAGGGCAGAGGCTGTTGAGAGGAAGGTGGTGAGGCTGGGCTGGTTGTAGGGCCCAAGGCTACACTTACCTTCAGCAACTTCCAAAGGGCCTTGGGATTTGCGAAGTTCCTTTACTGTTTCTAAGAACTCTTTTCCACCAGCCTTTTCCAAGGCTTTACCTGCAAGGGAAAACAATAGGAAGCCAGTGTGATTGTTTTTTCCATGTACTTACACTGCTTGATGCAATTCTTAACACGCACACACACGTACACACACACCCCACAAACACCTGGAAAGTAGGATTCAAACTTCCCAGTTGTTATCCTGGTTTGCCAGTGGTCATGGGTGGTGGGGGCCTCTGGGCCTGTGTCCAGCAGACTTACTTTAGTAAGTTTAGCAAGCTCTTTTTTAAAAATTTGCATTTGTTTAGTATACTTTTCTAAAGGATCTTTTTAGGGCTAATAAAGCAGTCTTATGACATGAGTTCTAAAGATGATTTTTCTAAAGGAAGAGAGTCCAGTGTTAAGTTCTACAAGTCCAATACCTGTGTGGAAAGCTCTGAGGTCTGCTCCCATCTCAGGCCACCAACTTATTGTAAGTCCTTGGGGTCAAAGAACAGACAGAGGCCCAGGGCAGCCTGGCAGACTGTTTCTCTCACTTGGGTCTCACTTATTTTTTTTCTTTTTTTGAGACAGAGTCTCACTCTGTCACCCTGGATAGAGTGCCATGGCATGATAGCTCCTAACAACCTCAAACTCTTGGGCTCAAGTAATCCTCTTGCCTCAGCCTTCTAAGTAGCCAGGACTATAGGTGTTCACCACAATACCTGGCTAATTTTTCAATTTTTAGTAGAGACAGGGTCTCACTTTTGCTCAAGCTGGTCTCCAACTCCTGAGCTCAGGTGATCCAGCTGCCTTGGCCTCCCCGAGTGTTAGGATTATAGGTATGAGCCACCTTGCCGGCCTTTTCTTTTCTTCTTTTTGAGACAGAATCTCACTCTGTTGCCCAGGCTAGTGTGCCCTGTTGTTAGCCTAGCTCTCTGCAACCTCAAACTCCTGAGTTTAAGTGATCCTCCTGCCTCAGCTTCCCCAGTAGCTGGGACTACAGGCGCCTACCACCACACCCAGGTAGTTTTTCTATTTTAGTAGAGATGGGTCTCACTCTTGCTCAGGCTGGTCTTAGGTTTCTGAGCTCAAGGGATCCTCCCACCTGTGCCTCCCAGAGCCACTCCATCAGGCCTGGGCCTCAGTTTTCAATGGAAATATGCAAAGATTTGAGAGGCTAATTTCTAAGGATATTCCTGTTGGCAGATGCCCTGACTCTTTGCTGTTAGGACTATTCCCTGGTCAGCATCTCAGGGTCTTAGTTCTACAGAGGCCAAGAATAACCGCAGGAGGTGGCAGGACCCTACTAGTAAGCACCAGGGGATCCCACACTCCAAATCTCTGAAAGTAGAGCTGTCTTGGGCAGCAGATGAGCTGTTTCCCCTTGAGTGTTTTCATCTTGTAAGGAACTTACTTATGTGGATGTCTGGGGCAAGTCTCAGCTCTCTCTGTTTATTAGTCACTAATAGTCACTACTAGGAAAATTTAGAGGCTTCCCTTGGGTCTAGATGATGGAGAGTGTCCCCACTCCTCACTCAGGCGCTCAAATATATTTGGAGAGTCACATTACATTGTGCAGATCACTTAGGACAAATGTCTACTCGAGCAGTCCCTCTCTGGGGGTGGACCTGGGGAGGGGGTTTCTTCATGAATGTCCTTGGGTTTCAACGACACAGTTGAGAAATGGGGATCACAGACTATATCCAGAGTCTCAGGGGCTCCTTTCAGGCCCCCAGATTTCTAGCCACGGTCAATCTGCTGGGTCTTTGGAGAAGGCTGAGAAACTGAAGCAGGGACGGAGGTCTACGCTGCTGCTCTCTGCCTTTAGGTCAGGGCCCAGTGAGGATATGTAGAAGCAAAGCAAATCTACCCTCTTCACTAAAGATTTAAGAAAAAAGCCTGCAGAGCTGATGAGGTGCTCTCTCTCCGTGGATGCATTCCCATGAAGAAATGAAGGAATGCTGGAATGAGAACATCACTGCTTCACAACCCCCCTAATGAACAGACAGGGAAGGGGCATCAGCGGCTGCTGGCATCTCAGAAAGACAACCAGGCATGATGGGTGTGATGGTGCAAGATGCTGCTGCGCTGACCAAGGAGTCTCGTCCAAAGGTTTTGAACCTGACCCTCGGTGAACTGCTAGAGCAGCAGTTCTCAACCTGCAGGTCGTGACCCCTTTGTAACAATGAAAATATACTGTTGCATTAGGAAGGTTGAGAACCGCTGCTCTAGAGGAATGATTTTCAACTGGTGTGCTGTGCAAGGATCTTAGGTGTGCAGTGAAAACTTTTAGAGATCATAAATTATTTTCAAAAGAAGTTCAAAGCAGTAAGTATATTCTTATTTTTTTTTTGGCTGGGGCTGGGTTTGAACCCGTCACCCTCAGCATATGGGGCCAGCGCTCTACTCCTTGCGCCACAGGCACTGCCCTACTTTTTTCTTTTTTGAAACAGAGTCTCATTCTGTGCCCTGGGTAGAGTGCCATGGTATCGTCATAGTTAACAGCTACCACAAACTCTTGGTCTCAAGTGATACTCTTGCCTCAGCCTCCCAAGTAGCTGGGACTACAGGTGCTGGTGAGTTTTCTATTTTTGGTAGAGACAGGGTCTGGCTTTTGCTCAGGCTAGTCTCAAACTCCTGAGCTCAGGCAATCCACCTGCCTTGGCCTCCCAGAGTGCTAGGATTACAGGTGTGAGCCACCACACCTGACTTTTTTACTCTTTTTTTATGATCAACATAATTTATGTGTGCTTTGGAAGTTTATAGGTTCAAGTGTGTCATGAGATTAAAACAGGTTGAAAAACACTGCTCTAGATCCAACTACCAATTAATTTTATAAAAAGAAATAGTAAGAAACATATTTAATGACAACCAGGAAGATGCACTAAACAAAATCCAAACTGGGGGAAACCCTATAGGACAAGCAGCCTCATTAACAAATAAATTACAGGCGGGGCTGAGGTGGGTGAATTGCCTGAGCTCACAGGTTTGAAACCAGCCTGAGCAAGAGTGAGACCCTGTCCCTAAAAAAAAAATAGCCTAGTGTTATGGCAGACATGTGTAGTCCCAGTTACTTGGGAGGCTGAGGCAAGAGAATCGCTTAAGCCCAAGAGTCTGAGGTTGCTCTGTCTCAAAAAAAAAAAAAGAAAAGATAAGATAATCTCATTATCTAATTAATGCCTAGCTGGCCCCCACTCCCACCCCGGCACTGCGCTAGGCGCCATAGGCTCCATGTACCTATCATCTATTTAATCTTCACAGCACCCCTGAGAGGTACTGTTGTCATCCTCACCTACCATACAGAGAAGGAAATAGAGATGGGAGGCTAAGAAACCTGCCCAAGGTCACAGAGAAAGATTCAGAAAAGCTAGACCCAGACCAGACAGACGCAGAGCCTCCTCTCCTAACCGTCAGGCCACCTTTTAGCCCCTTTCTCCTCTCAAGACACCGGAGAGGTCAGTTTGAGAATCCACAGCTGGGAAATCGGCTTGAATTTTTGCTCTAACCAGTTCTCTTTCTGTCCTACCACGCTGCCATTAAAAAAAAAAAAGAAGAAAAAAAAAAGAAGAAAAAGAAAAAGAAGTATCTTTGTTGTTTTTCTGATGTAAAGCACGAACACCATAGAAATGTGTAAAGTAGGAACGTTGCCACTTGTTTTGTGAGAAGTGAGGACATCTACTCAGAGGTGCGGATGAAGGCCACTAGCAGGCGTTTCTCCCTGGTGCTGTCATATCTTCAGTCCAGCACAGCAGTGGTCTGTGAGCCAGGAGGGAAGCTTAAATGAGTCCTCCAGCCTCCCTGCATGCTACTGCCAGCTGAATGACTAGCCCCTGCCTCAGGAACACAGCCCTTTCTCTGCTCGCTTTGCCCTTTCAGTGAAGAGTTTAGGGCAGTCCCGTCTGGTCAAAGTGGATGAGATGGTGACCTTTTTTTTTGGTAGAGAAAAAGTCTCACTATGTTGCCCAGGCTGAGCCTGGGCTCCAGTGATCCTCCTATCTCAGCCTCCCAAAGTGCTGGGATTATAGGTGTGGGCCACTACACCAGACCAGAGGCAATGACTGCTAACCTACTATTATTTCCAGTGTGTTTGACAGCTACCGTCCAAGCTCCTCCACCTTCCCTAGTAACAGCTCCCCTACCACTCATGGGACAGGTGGCAAACCACTGGTAAAAGGACAATGCTCATAGCTTTACAGACAACTGCATTTTTTTTAGATGTCCATTTCTACCTTTTCTAATAGCATTGTCAAGATGTATGCTTAAAATATACATCAAGTTTTATCCAAAACATGTTGTGCTACTCAGTATAGCCCAAACTAGAAACTACCAAGATGCTATCAGTGGTAAAACAGATCAATAAATTGTGGCATAGTTGTACAGTGTAATAAACTACACAGCAAGGAAAATGAATGAACACAATCACGCTCAACAATATACATGGATTTCACAAATGATAAGTTAAACAAAAGGAGTCAGACACAGAAAAGTATATGATTTCATTTGTATAAAAGTAAAAACAGCTGAAAACCATTTATTCTGTTAAATGACAGGCTTCACCTGGAAAGGTGAAGACCCGAAGGGAGGAGGAGGAGAAGGAGGACTTCTGGGGTGCTGGTGAGGGTCTGCTTCCCGACCTAGGTGCTGGTTGTACAGCTGATGTTCTCTTTGAGATAAATTAAGCTATACACTAATGATCTGTTTTTATGTAATACTTCAATATAAGCTTCAAAAAATATATGCAGGATTAACACAAAGTTACTCTCTGGTGACGCTGTTCAATCACAAAGACAAGACTTTGACACAGGACCCCAAACAGCCAGCCAGTTGACAATGACCAACTTCACAAGAACTTGACTGAATAGTGGGCTATTCTGTGGCACTTCTACGACGTCTCAGGACCTTACCTATGTCTTCCTTGAGGTCAATTTCGGCTGTGGTTGGGTGAACAATGCCCTCCACTCTCATGGAGCCAATATGGCTGATGTCACTCTGGGTTAAGGATAGCTGCGTTAGGAAGAAAAGACAGAGAGTATGGGAACGATCAAATCGCATTGAAAATCTTCACATTTTACCTGACATCCATATGCCTCTTTAATTATTATTATTTTTCTTTAGTTATTGCTAATCTCTGTATTGTTCTATTTTTGTTTTTTTGAGATAGTCTCAAGCTGTCGCCCTGGGTAGAGCGCCATAGCATCATAGCTCACAGCAACTTCCAACTCTGAGGATCAAGCGAACCTCTTGTTTCAGTTTTCCTATTGTTAGTAGAGATGGGGTCTCGCTTGTCCTCAGGCTGGCCTCGAACTCCTGAGCTCAACTAATCCACCCGCCTTGGCCTCCCAAAGTGGTAGGATTACAGGCGTTGAGCCACCTCTCCCAGCCTATCGTTCCATTTTTAGTATATATGTGCTGCTGAAGCAAGCACTCTTCTCTTTAATTATTCATACCAAATGTCAACAGGAGGACCACTATAGAGTGACGACATCAAGTTTCGTGAGTGTTTGGTTTTCAATAGGCTCTGCAGTGGATTCGAGTTTCACTTTTTGACACTAGCAATATGCTCCAAATCTGCTTCCCCTTCCCTGAAATGGGAATGGGACTGCTCCTCTTCTCTCTTTCCCTGCAGCTTATGCCTTTGATTCCCAACCCTACTGGCCTTGTTTTAGGCCATGCATCCTCCGAGTAGCTCCCACAGGGGAACTTACTCCAGAGCAGTACAGAACATTTGGGGATGAGCTCTGAAGACCATGACCTTGAAGAGAGGATTAATGGGCTCTGGGATCCTAACCTGCCTATGTCTGGCCCCCTTACCCTCTGGGGACTTCGTTCTTGGGCTACCCTTGGGAAACGCCGCCCTGTGTGTTCGTAGCAGAGAGGAATGGAGGGCCCTTTCCTTTGTTTGCCCACAGGAGGAAGAACTTTATGTCTTTCTGGCTAAGTGAGAGAAAGCTACTGTCACAGAACCACGGAGAGCCCAGAGAAGGGGTATAAATTCCATCTCTTTGATACCCTGCTTTCATCAGTGATGAATTAGGAACCCTCCACATTGCTGTTCTTCTTAGAACATGCTCTCCCCAATTGCTCTCATGGAGGTTCACACTATTGTCAGGCTGCAAACATTCAGCTACCAGAGATATGATTAACTGACTGTTTCCTCGTTGTGTCTTATTTCAGCCCCAGTTGACTAGGAAGATAAATTGTCTGCTCGGTAAACTTTACACTTGTAGGCATGAATTATTTGCATCTCTGGCTGGGCTGCTGTTGTGTTGCTGAAGACTGTTGAAATGGATAGCCCTGTTTGTTTTCTTTCTGCAGCCTAGAAAGGCAAGCAACCTGAATTATTGGCAAATAATTCATGTCTAACACCAGGGACATTCAAGAAGCATATATTTCTATTTTCTTTCTTTGATATATTACACTGAACAGTGCTGGATAGGCCTCTGAGCAGCTATTTGAGAAAGTTAGCTATGGATTTTATTTTTGGTGGACACAGAAATAACTGGAGTGTAGGGAATTCCCAGTAAACCCGGTAGCTACAGACTGGAAAGATTCTCTATGTTTACCTTTGGCTAACCAATGCCAGCATTAACAATTTTCAGCACCAAAGGGCTGATCACTTTTACAATGCAGAAATTGCCATAGGTCTTTAGTTTAAAAACAAGTAATTCAAGACTAGAATGAAAGTCATATCAGGGGGGCAAGGGATAAAGGAGGCATCATCGCTTGTAAATCATAGGTTATAAAAGTACAATAGTGTTCACCACAGCACACTGCAGTTCTCTTTATTACCTTCTGTCCTAGAACAAGGCTCTTAGAAGACAGAATGGTGAATCCATCCCCCGGTCCATCTTCGGAGGTGGAATTTGAAGTTCCTTCTTTATCACTGTCCTTTGGTTTGGACTGTTGGTAGAAATCAGAAGGACAAATAAGAGCCAATCCAGAAAAAGCCCAATGTGACCTTATTATGCTCTTTCCACGGCTGCCACCAATTTAGATATGAAGGAAACGGTTAGGCATTATGTTCTACTGTTTAGGGATGGAGGGAAGCAAGGGACAGCAATATGAGGGAAAGAAAAAGGTACTGCAAAGTCCCAACTATGTTAAGGGGTAATCCTCGCCCAAACCTGGACACGGGTACCTTACTCTTGCTCTTTTCAATGCCTTATGATGACAAGCATCAGAGCCCAGTGGGGCTGTACAGAAGCATATCTCCTAACCCTTCCCTCCTCTCCAGGATTTCCCTGGGGCGCAGTGGCAGTGGAGGAGTAAACTCTTACGTGATTCCCCATTCCCCTACACTCTGCTTTTTTTTTAAACAGGCAGAGTCTTCCTCTATCATCCAGGCTAGAGTGCAGTGGCACAGTCACAGCTCACAGGAACCTCAAACTCCTAGGCATAAGCAATCTCCAGCCTCAGCCTCCCAGAACTACAGGTGTGCCCCAGCATACCTGGTTAATTATTAAAAAAATTTTTTAAATGAGGTCTTGCTACGTTGCCCAGGCTGGTTTCATACTCTTGGACTCAAGAGATTTTCTCACCCAGACCTCCAAAATGCTGGGATTACAGGTGTGAGCCATCCCATTCAGTCTTTTATATGATCTTTGGTGTTGTCATGGAGGTCTGTGGAATGAAAATTTCACAACCTCTAAAGCAGCTTTGTTGAGAGAACTTTCTCTGGTCATGGAAATGTCTGTCTGTGATCTTCAGTGCCCTGAGCCCTTGAAATGTGGCCAGTAAAACTGATGAACTGCATTTTTAATTTGATTTCATTTTCATTCAAGTTTAAAAAGCCACGTGTGACTAGTGGTTACTGCACTAGGCAGCATATAATGATGTTATTCCCCAAGTGGCATCTCGGAGCTAAGTTACTTAGCACTTCAGACATAGTACATCAAAACACCTGAAATTCCCCTGGCTGAACTCAGGGGACTACATGCAGAAGACTAGAGCTTGTTTAGTATGCAACATGGAGCTCTGAAGAGAAATCAAAAGCAGGTTCTAGGCTATCCTCTCTCACTGAAGATTTTGGTAGGGGGCAGTAAAAGGAATGTGAGGCCAACCGATGCTTTGAGTTTAGAAATCTCTAGAAGACCCCGTTTAGTGATGTGAACTCGAATCTCAAAGGCCCTTTATTCTTCTGCATACACGCTGTTGTCATTTTCTCCCAGATCCAAGCTGCAGAGAATCCTCAGCCCTTCAGAGGTGCCATCCGTTCATCTTTACAAAACACCGCAGAGTGGGTGGCTCACAAACCACAGAAATTCATTTCTCACGGGTCTGGAGGCAGGAAGGCCAAGTTCAAGGTTCTGGCAAGCCCCTTTTGGCCTCTTTTATAAGGGTCCTATCCCATTCCCAAGGGCTCTGTCTTCATGACCTAATCACTTTCCAAAGGCACCACACTTACCACCATCAGCTTGGTGTCAGATTTCAACTTAAGAATTTTGGGGGGGACACTCATATTTAGACCACAGCAGTGACAGTGCCTGGCTCTTGAAACGCAGCCCTGACTTACCTTTTTGGACGTCCGGGGCTTGGCCGCCTTGGATTTCTTGCCTCCCTTCTTGCCTGACGTGGCCTTCCTTCCTCTTTTCTCTAGGGGTGGGGAGAGGATAGTTTCCGATTTGCCTTTGGTCCCTCGCTTTTTGGCCAGCAGTTCAGGGTGAATTCTGGGCAGGACGCCTCCACTGGCAATGGTCACTCCTTTTAGCAGCTGAAGAGAGAGATGCATGAGCTCATACAGCAAAGAGCCTGCTGGTTCTGGATGTAATACTGTTCTAACTATTAGCAAAACAAGGTTTAAACCTGGTGTTTGCTTTCCTAAAGAAAGTGTTTAATATACAATTTAATTGGCTCTCCGCTCTTTCAATTGTGGAGCATTTCTCTGTAGGTATCAAGGCATCCTATGATGCTGTACAGAAAACAAAACAAAGCAAAGTAAAATAAAAGGGTTCTAGAAGCTGAAACCAGGGATGTTGCCCAGGGCTCTGGAATTCCAGACACAACAGAGGATAAAGAGCTTCACACATGGGGACCTGGGGAGCGAAGCTTGACAAAGTTAGTTCAAAGGTTAATGCAAATGCTAGACCCAGTTAATGACAGATCAGTGGTCTCCACGCTCTTGGATGTGCATTCCATTAGCACAGGATGTTTGACCATGCACTTCCCAATCATAAGTAACCGCCATATGCTGCTACACTAATGTGTTTCTGCATGTCCTAAAGCAGTACTACCCCAAGCGTGGTCTGTGACCATGGCTCATCCATGAACTGTTACCCATCTGTGACAAGGTAAGTACAGACATCACCAGTATGAGTCTAGAATCTTTTACAGCAAGTTGACAGAGTTATTATACATCTATTGAATGTGATTAAAAAAAAAATTGTGGTTTATAGTTTGTCCCTTGTTTTTTACATCTTTCTAGTAATTAATTTTATTACTTTGTTTTTGGAAATTATCAGTATCATAGATTGGCAATAAGAACTGAGTCTTTTTTTTTTTTTTTAAGACAGAGTCTCTCCCTTTGTCACCCTTGGTACTGTGCCGTTGTGTCATACATAGCTCACAGCAACCTCCAACTTTTGGGCTTAAGCAATTGTCTTGCCTCAGCCTCCCAAATAGCTGGGACTACAGGCACCTGCCACAAAACCTTTTTTTCTTTTTTGAGACACAGTCTTACTTTGTCACCCTGGTAGAGTGCCGTTGCATCATAGCTCACAGCAAGCTCAGACTCCTGGGCTCAAGCAATTCTGCCTCAGCCTCCAGAGTAGCTGGGACTACAGGTGCCTGCCAGAACACCTGGCTATTTTTAGAGGCAGGGTTTCACTCTTGGTCAGGCTGGTCTTGAACCTGTGAGATTAGGTGATCCACCCACCTTGGCCTCCCAGAGTGCTGGGATTATAGGTGTAAGCCACCATGCCCAGCCTTTAAGAACTGATTCTTCACCACAGTTTTGAGAAGAATGAGATTAGAAAATTACTATAAATGAAAATAAATAGAAATAAAAATTCTTATACTATGAACTGCTACCTTGCATATCCTAGGGTAGAGGAAGAATATTCACTTGACTTTGTATTCAGTTTCAAAATATAAAGAGACAGTTCTAATTAATATAAATAGGATTCTCCCACTCTCATTAGAAAAAATGGTCAACCAGGTTTGAGCAAAGAAACTGAAGAGACCAGGTCCTGTGCCTTCCTCAGCAACACACAGAATTTGTCTTTACAGAGGAGAAGAAGGTCTGGCAAGACCTAGAATATACAGAGGGTGCCAAAAAATGTATCCACATTTAAGAAAGAAAGAACTGTATTAAAATTGTAATAATATATACCAAAAACAAAAGATAAATACAAGTCATAGTGAGTCAAACAAGATTGAGTATTACAATTTTAATATAGCCTTTTTCCTTTCTCAAAATGTATATACCTTTTTTTGGTGCCCTCTGTATAATGGGATCCATTTCAAAAGGAAATTTTATTTTGAATCTGAATTGTATAGCTAGCAGAATTTGTTCTTTATGTGGTCTGAATGTTTTTGTACAAACGTGCATGGGCATTGTAGCAGGAGTGACTGGAGTGTGGCTGGCTGGGTCCACGTGACCCATTCTGGGCCCCATCCCAGTGCTTCAGACATACCTGGTTGAGCTCCTCATCATTGGCAACTGCCAGTAGGATGTGTCTTGGGGCTATTCGGGCCTTCTTGTTGTCCCTTGCGGCATTTCCGGCCAATTCTAGGATTTCCGCTGAAATCACAAGGGAGTGTTAACACACTATTACAAAATGGGGTCTGAGCTTTCAAAAGCCTTCACCTTTGTTCACATTTATTCATTTATGATTTTTATGCCTGGGTCTGAAAAGAAATCCAGAAGCTGGAAAGATTTCAGGTCATAGACAAGTAAGATATTTTAGTAAGACGATACATAATCATGTGGCAAAATTTTCCAGTAGTCCCTCAACATTAGCCCTTCTTCCTTACTATATGGGGCTCTGAGTTTCTGCTGAGCTCATCACTGCAGGAAGGGAGACATGTTTCCCAGCCTCCCTTGGTGCTAAGTGTGGTCATGTGGCCAAATTCTGGCCAATGGCAGGCAAGCAGCTATGTTGCCAATACCAGGAGGGTCTGTCTATGAAGTGGCTGTGTCCTTACCTTTCTACTGGCTGGCTGAAGACATGGGGGCTGGAATTTGAGCAGCCATCTTTGACCATGAAGGAGTTGTGGATGACAGAGCAGCAAGACAGAAGGAAACTTGAGTCTCCTTATCAATCTAGACCAGTATTTTTTCAACCTTTTTTATATCACGGCACACAATAGTTAACCTTCCTTGGCACACTTAAATTATGTTGATCAAAAAAAAAGGCAAACAAAAGAATATATTTATTATACCTTGAACTTCTTTCAAAATAATTAATGTTTTCATTTCTTTCTTTCTTTTTTTTTTTTGAGGCAGTGTCTCCCTCTGGCACCCTGAGTAGAGTGCTATGGCATCATAGCTCACAGCAATCTCAAGCTCTTGGGCTCAAGTGATCGTCTTGCCTTAGTTTTTCTATTTTTAGTAGAGATGGGGTCTCGCTCTTGGTCAGGCCGGTCTTGAACTCCTGAGCACAAGTGTGCTCCACCCTCCTCAGCTTCCCAGAGTGCTAGGATTACAGGCATGAGCCACCGCGCTCGGGAGGTAATTAATGATCTTTAAAAATGTTCACGGTACACCTGAGATCGTCTCGTAGCACACCAGTTGAAAATCACTGATCTGTACTATCTTTTCTTTTCTTTCTTTTTTCTTTTTTTTTGTAGACACAGAGTCTTACTCTATTGCTCTTGGTAGAGTGCTGTGGTGTCACAGCTCACAGCAACCTCCAATTCCTGGGCTTAGGTGATTCTCTTGCCTCGGCCTCCTGAGTAGCTAGGACTACAGGTGCCCACCCCAACACCTGGCTATTTTTTTGTTGCAGTTTGGCTGGGGCCGGGTATGAACCTGCAATCCTTGGTATATGGGGCCAGCGCCCTAGTCACTGAGCCACAGGAGCCACTTTGTACTGTCTTTTCTAAACTTCTTTGGTATGTGAGTGAAGATAAACCCTAATGTTCAAGCCACTGTCAGCAGAAGTCAATCCTGATTAGTACAGAATCCTAACATAGAAGCTGAATTTCTTTCGGTCTACAGACAGCAGGGCCATCCCTAGAGAGAAGGGTGACAGAGGTAAGGTCTGTCACCCATTGGTATTACTTTTAAAATTCCTTTTTCCCATTTGCTTGATACTTCAGGTCCCTCCTGTTCTAGAAAAAAGTGGATGGAAGAACTGATGTAAACCGTGGAAGGAAGAAGTACATGGTCTGAAAAGTGAATTCCTAACGGGGATGCCCGACACCCGAGCAGGAAGTCACCTTGGGGCCCAGGTGTCTTCCCCATTCCCCTCAGTTAAGAATGGTTTGGGCTCGGCGCCTATAGCTCAACCGGCTAAGGCGCCAGCCAC